AAATTTAGTAAAAACCAAATAGCTTCAATATAATATGTTTAGGCTTAAATTAACCTAAAAAATAACAGCCGAACAAGCTATGAAGTCCTGAGTTACTTATTATTCATATTTTTTTTTCATTATTAAAGTTTAAAACTATTTATCAGGAACTTTATTTGGTTTTCAAAAATACTGGTTTTTGCTACTACTTTATGAGTAGTTATTATTACTCATAACTCATATTGTGCTCTTCTATAAAAAAAAATGTAATAATTCATGAAAAATTTATCTTATCTATACAAATAAACTGAACACTAAGCAATTATTTTTAATCTTCATATTTAGGGTATTTTTTGCTTTGATGTGAAGCTATCATTTTTATGATAGTGTGTGTTTTTATTTATGATTATCCATGAAAATTCTCAGCACATGCAGAACCACTTTTAATGATTAATATGTCAAAAAAACCCGATTTTAAATTAGATGTACTAATCAATACCAAAAACTTGAAGAACGCCTTACATTTTTAGAAAATTTTATAAATATTTCAAAATTAAGGTACCCTAAAAAATGTTAAATTATTTTTTCTGTATCTTAAAACTGATGTACTTAATATTTTAAATCACTAATCCAAATGAATTTTTTATAAATTATTCATGAAATAACAAGATTTTTTTTTGGTATGCTTTTTAAAATTTCAATATATGAAGGATTTGAAAGACTTTACCCATGTATATTAAATCTTTTTCAACTCAATTTTTGAAAATGTTTTGGAAGATCTAATAATTTTTAACTTATATTAAACTAAAGCTTTTGAAGGGTATTACAACTTAAATAAAAAAAGTTGTTCTACTATGTGCAATCGGCCGTTAGAATACAAAAATAATTTAACAAGCATTGAATATTCTTGTAAAATTTTAGATCATAGAAAGTTTAAAATTAATAATACACAAATTATAAAATTTAACAGATTTACATCAAAAGGGTTTTAAATAACAGTGATGTTAATCACTGTCAGATATCATATACTTTTGCGACCCCTCTGTGTTGGAATTTTTTTCTTCATAAAGTTTATTTACACTCTATATGCAAAAAAAAAAATTTGATATTTGATACAGCATAGTATTTACAATAACTTGAGAAGAATGGCTATCTAGTGACATGACAAAACCCTATTAATGATTTTTTTTAATATTTGTGAAGATTCTGAATCCTAGCCCTTTGAGACGATGAGGTGTTATTCGGGAGTATTTTGAACAATAGATTGGAGATTAGAAAATTATGATTAGTAGAAAGCTTGTAATTGAATCTAAGGTAGAATTTAGATGCTACTTCATTGACTGTTTTTAGTTTTAAGTGGTGTGTTATTTGAAACATACCTAGGACCGAAGTTATTAATCGAAGTACAATAAATTAGAATACCTGATAGTTTTTGTTTAAGTAGGTTTAGCTCCATAAGCCTAAATTAGTTGAACAAGTGATTTTTAAAGTAATATTTTATTATTTAATTTTAGTTTGGGTGTAAGTATAGGTCAAAGTAAGTGTAGATACGTATTTAGTGTTTTCCTTTTGTTTTTTAAGTGGATATCCCAAGTCAGTCTTTTTCAAGTGTTATGCCTAAGTATCTAACCTCTGTTTCAATTGATATAGAAATATTTTTGAAATTTAGTAACAAGCACTGTTCATTTCTTAGAGAAAAAAAACACTCGTGGATTTTATCTTAATTAATTTTAATCTGTCAGTTTTTTTAATAATTTTTAATTTTATCTAGGTATTTATGAAGGCTTCAGACGCAAGGTTAGAGCATTGTTAGAGGTCAAAATTGCAAGATCGTTTAAAAATATTGCTAATTATATTTGGTTAGTAGAAGGGATATCAGATGTATAAATGTTGTATAGGCCTAGAGCAAAGATTACTTTCCTAAGGAACACCTACAGATATTTAAAATATGTAGATTAATCATTTGCTTGGCAAGTACAAAATATTTGATCATTAAGATAGGACTTGATTAGAAGATTTAGTAGTATTTTATAAAATTTTAGCAGTACTGAAGATTAAAATTTATAATTAAATCACTTTAATCAATTAATATCATTTTTTTCCCGTAATAATTTTGTGTATCTAATTCAGTAAGTTAATTACTTGTAATTAAAAAATAAGATGAAATGACTCGTGGAATAATGGAGTAGTTTTTAGGATTGGAGAATATTCAACTTTTTAAGATTATGATTTTTTAGACTAGGTAATAAGGTCACAAAAGGTTTATGAGAGGATTTTTTTCTGTCGGGTTGTCAGTATGTGTTTAGCATTGATAATGGTAACATTCTTCCTGAAGTACGCATTCGCGATTTTTTAGTAAATTTTGTGTTATTTCGAGATAAATATTTTTTAATTTAAAATTAGTATTTTTAACGCAATTTTAATTTTAGATTTTTTTATTTTGCTAGTATTTATATATATATGTGGTTTTGTCATAAAACAAAGTTTGTATTAGTTGAGCATTAAAAGATGTTTTTCCCTTTTAATCGGACGCACTTAAATTAATAACTTACTGTTTGCGTGAACATATATACTTTAAAATGCATTATAATTTACCGTGTTGAACGCATTGGAAGTAAGAAATACCGACCAAATGAAACAAACACGAGACGACCCCTGGGCTCACACTATCTGCCTGGTTAGCGGCTACTTTGATTTATATAATTGTTTTTAGTTAACGATATTGTAATAATGTAACGAGATGGGCGACTGATTCATCGAGTATGTACTACTGAACCGACCCCTTCTACCCATAAATTATGCACATCAGTATGTTTTTACTATTGTTTTAACTGTAATTTTCATCGTATCGTTTGACCACAGGCGTCGGACGTTTCTCACACATCGTTATTAATATTTCTACCACAATAAAACTCGACGAAGGTCTCAACATCAACGATTTATTTTTTTAACGTGTCATTAATTGATAACAGGCACGTTCGTTTATCTTAATTGGGCATTATCAATAAAGAGTAATTGTTTGCCAATGTTAGCAACACAGTCCGATTGGAGGTTAGATATTTAGTTATGTTATTTTATTTAATAAATATAATTATCATAATTTGACGTAAATTTGATAAAAGTACTTTCTATTTCAATATAAAATATTCAAAATGAACATTGAATTATGAATTGAACACAATCGTTTTAGAATTTTAACCATTATATTCTAGAAGATGTGTAGTTGGTATTTATCGTATATTATCATGTTCAATTCATGCTAACTATTGATAGTCATTAATTCTAATTAAATTATCAACATTTTAGCATGTAAATTCGAATAAACACTGAATAACAAATTTAATCATGTAAAAATGAGAGTTTTATAGCAAATCCAATCTATACAAGTGCAGATTTAATTTATATTTATTAATAAAAAGAAAAGTATATTTAAGGTTCTTAAATTCAATTTTAGAGAAACCATGTAATATTATATTTTTTATCACAGTGATCATTTGAGCAATTTTTCCAGTAAAGTAGTTGAATATTATTATATTTTTTTTTGAAATTCTACAAACTTTTAAAAAGGTTAATTTATTAATAAACCATTAAAAAATTATTGATTTCAAGTCACCTAAATTAAAAAAAAAGTTTTTTAGTCCATAAATTCACAAGTATTAGAGGTATCTAAAATACTCGGTCAACATATTTTTGAACGTATTGATTTAAGATAAAACATGAATCGACGAAAATAATTGATGCTTGGTTAAAGTTTGCCCTTGTCCTGATGGCTATTTATTTCATGCGATTTTAAGAACCAACATAATATAATTAATAGCACTAAAACGGCAATAACTTTTGGATACAACATTGACCATTTGGGTTTGGCGATAGCCATCTCAGTATACATTTTTGAATTTGTACCACACACGACTGTTGACCGCTTAGTTATCAGCTCTTACCTTGTTTGTCAAGAATGTGCGTGTGTTTTATGCAGTGACCGCTTCCAAGACAAATTAGACCAATGACAGGTTACACTAACACAATCCATAATTGTCACGTCTTTCTCTATCGTCTTGCATTTTTTTTAAATTATGATTATACCGAGAGGTATGTTGAATATGTAAATTTTTTAACAACATGTTTACACAAAAAAAAAAACGGTTAAGTAATTGACTTTAGTTTCATGACATCCAATTGTTTTTTTTTTTCATTAAGAATCGAAAAAATACGTGAGCATTAAAATTAAAAATATATGGTGATTCGCTCATTTGAACATCACATTACCTATAAAGTATTTTTATTAAGTCTATATCTTTTATAACATTTTAAAATTCAGTATGAGTATACCACTTAATAGACAGCTTGTTCTTCCTTAGAGAATATAGGACAACAGCTGATTTTTGTTTAATGAACGTTACATTGCTATTATATTATTTTAATGGAATTTAGGTTTTTCAACAATTTATCGGTAGAATAACCATTAAATATCTAACAGCTGCTCCAAACGCCTCCACGCCATTAATAGCTATTTTGATGATTACTATATTTTTTATATATTACCGTAATGTTTTTTTACGGTTTCAACATTAAATTTATATGCCATGTTTTTAAATTTAAAATCCAGAAACATTAAACTTGTTTTATTTTTTTTGCATATAAAATAAACTGAGACGAATGGCTTCTAAGTTTTGCATTTTTCTGAAGTAAAGACCATTGTGCAACAAAATTGAGTAACACACATTAAAAACACATATGCGTAATAAATGTAGTACAAAATCAACGGAGATATTAAAAAACAATAGAATTATAAATCTATTGACAATTACTAATTTCATTAGTAAAAGAAATAATAATTTTCATGCCCTTCGAAACACGCCCCGATTTTGTATGTACTTTTGATGATTAGTTTATATTTCAATGTCAAATCATTTGACATTTATATAATGATTCATTTGACTCAATTGAATCATTATAGAGTAGGTTTTAATACTGAACTGCAAAAAACACGCTTTTCTGAGTCTAAAACTTTATAAATAGGAAACTCAACGTAAAACACAGGTGAGTTCTACTTATAAAAGTACTTGTAACTATAATCCATAAAGATTAAAGTTTTAAATCACTTTAACATTTTAATAATTAATTATTACAGCCGCCAAAATTTAATCAATTAATCAAATAAAACATTCTATTGCTTATTATCTAGCGATACATTATTACTTCATAGAATTTAGTTTTGGTACATTTTTCATAAAACTGTTCAGTAAATATTTTTATAAGTTTTTTTTTAATCTAAATTAGTATAAACCACAATATTGCCTGCAATTATTTGTCGTAACACATAAAAAGTGGCTGTTGTTTTAGTCGCTTACAGTGTTCAACTATAAATTTAATATAAAAGTGGTATTTATTAAAAATACAAACATTTTTATCAAATGATAACCTTTTGTTAGTTTACTGATTAATAATAGCATTCAAATACTAAACGTATCTGAAGTGGAAGTTTATTTTTCTAGCAGACACTCAACTAAATCGTTTATTCTGTTATAATTAATTTGGAAAAAAAAATAACAATAATTATTGAAAAGTCTAAATTATTGCTCAAATATGCCGAAAAGTGATGATAACGAACAGACTATAGCAGCGAGAAAAAGGTTGAAATTTATTCTAGAAGATGGACGTGACATATTAGTTGACAGAAGCAGAGTTAAAGATTTTCCTGAATGGTTTGACGAAGAATTATTTAAACGGTAATATGTCATTTTATATTAAATATATATTGGCATTATAAAATAAAACATAATAAAATTATATTTTTTTATTGTTTTACAGTGGCCAAAAATGGTACATTGATAACTTGTACACGGTGTTCATAACAAATTTGATAGGTTTATTATTGGTACTATCTATACCCACTGTTTGCGACGTTGTTGTACTCACTAACAAGTCAAATACACCTTGTAAAGCCTATAAACGATATTTTGACACACTACGTCATTCTTTAAATTGGTATACTTATGATATAAAAGATTTCAAATCAGAGTAAGTACTTTATTTGAAAATTATAGCTTCTACGCGAAAGCGTACTTGGTATTTTTTGTTAAAAATTATCTTGTCATTTAAAAAATTATATGTGAAATTAACTAAGATCGTGATGTCCATATCTTTGCATAGCATTTGTAAAAGATTAGACGCAAAATTGTTATCGAACACTGCGGTCGGCATTACGGAAAATATGAGGATACCCGAAGGTCAGATTTGGAGAAACCAGATCTGGGTCGTTAATTAAAACTGGGTTGTATAATAACGCTCAGTTTATTATATACAGAGTAATTCTTCTATCTAGAATTACTTCTAGATAAAGTAATATTGATGTTTTAGCTTCGATGCGAATTTTACTATGATGTGTTTTTTTTAATTTTTCTTTTTTATTTAACGTCATCACGATTTCTCAGCTCTCACCGAACCGATTTCTTTCAAAGAAACGTCAAAATATCACACAACGTATCTAGTCGAAGAAATAACTCTCAAAAATCGAAAAAATTTTCTTCGTTCCCCGTTAATGGGGGAATCCACAATTTTTTTTTTTAAATCGTTAATTTTTGCCTTTTTGTAAATTTGTTTTGCACAAATGACACAACTATTTGACAAATGAACGAATAAATATGAATTTTTTTTATAGATCCCTTAAGTATTACCCTATCATTTGGTATATATTTTTTGAAATATGAGATTTTACTTGCACATAGGGAGAATCCAAATAGTTACTTTTCCACAAATAATTAACTTTTTCGACTTAATTTTGGAAATTTTCCGGGAATACTGTCACTTATATATATATATCATAAGTTAAAGCTTATGTAATATAATTTAATTTGAAAAAAAAATGTGTCTCTACGACTTGTCTTTTATCTGCAAATGCCTGCTGTATTTAAAAATAAGCACTGTAGTATTTAAATTTTCGATTTTCAATTTAGACTTAATATTATTAAATTTTTGAAAAATATATGATTCAATACAATGTTTTTTTCATAAATATTTTATATATATCTCAAGATTTTTCTTCGTGATGAAAACATATTAATGTTTAAGAAAAAAGTGCATTTTTTATGTAAAAATTGCAAAATAAATTGAAAAATAAAATAATATATATATTTGAAAGTGTTTATAAGAAATTAGTAAATTCTGCATCAGCGTATTAAGAACAGGGTAGTTAGGAAACCATACCCCTCTATATTTTTTTTTCAAAAATATTTGTTTTGACTTATATCTCTATAACTATTTATTTTTATTTTAGAAAACCTTAATATTAGTATTGTAGTCATTGATTCTTATAAAAATTATTTGAATCTAATAGACATAAAATATTTAGTTAACTTTATTTTAAAATAGAGTTTAACGACTTTAAAATTTTGAACTAGCTTATATTGTCTTTTTTATCTGCCATCAAATTTAATATATGATTGCCGCATCAATAACACTTTTGTCGTACACGGTCTGTGTTCGATATTCAAACACTAACCGCCAAAATAGATTTTTTCCTTAATTTTTTTAAATTTGAAAAAATTCAAAATTTGTTTTTGATTTTTAATTTAATAAGATGGAATAAATTCAATGAATATCAAGAATTCCATCACTATATCTCCGCTTGTGAGAAGATATTTCTTATTAAATATATATCTTAAAAAATTTATTTTGTCTTTCACCTGAATTTATTTATGGTATTTTTCAATTACAACTAATTTTTGAAAAACACTCAATTGAGTAGATTTTTAGTTTTGTTATGAAGCTAAGAAGGTATTGGTTTTGTGATGTGGTGCGTTTCTTTTTATCTGTCAATAAAATTTCTCAGCTCTTACTGGACCGATATTAATTATCAATATGTTTAAAGAACTCGAATTATATATTAAGTTGAACTTAAAGTCACCAAATATTGAAAAAAAACACTTAATTTTAGAAATTTAGACAAATATCTTTTATGCAACTATGAAAATATCCTTAAATAAAATATGTTCTGCATATTATACTTGTTATTAAATAATTAGTAATTATATCAAAAATTAGGGGTGTTAAAAAAAATCTAATTACTAATTTTAATTTGATATTAGCGCTAAAAATCTAGAAAAATTTATTTTTGATTCGAATGAAAATTCCTTGAATACTATTGTATTTATTCATAATTAACAAAAAATTATTTTCTGAAAAGTGTTGTACCAAACCATTACATTTTAAAATACCTTTACCATTAAAGTAACGAAATATAGAACTGTTTTATAAATTTTATAATATCACCGTAAAAATTACAATACTAAATTGTTAAATATACATTTTTTAACAAATTTAATTACTATAATAAGTATTCATAAGAATTCATATATTGTCCTTATAAATCAAAGAACTACTAATTAGAATGTTATTAATGAAATAAGAATTGGTGTTGCTTCTTGAATAATCCACCAATTTCTTAAAATTAAACACTTTATGATAGATTAGATATGCATCGAAGCGTTTCTTAAGATTGTGATTTAAATCGCTGTCAGGTATCATCTATTATTGTCCGAACTATGTTACATCCACACTATGCCACTTTTTTTTTTAATAATAAAAAATTAATAAACTTCTTAATTTATAATTTTCATTTGTAGATCTCAAAAATCAATTTCAATAGTGCATGGACTTCATGGTTCATCGAGTCGTCTTGCCAGTAAGCATGGGTTGGGTGCCCGCGTAACACAAACGGACATGTCATTATCACAGTTTGTATTCATGGGATTAATTTTAGTGCGAAAAAAAGAACTATCTATTAATTGTACAGACGAAGATGAAATAGCCATCATACATTTGTGGCGTACTTTAGGATACTTTTTGGGTATTCAAGACAGGTAAAATATAATTCCCATATTAAGTGACAAGCAAAAACACTATGTATCAACTTAAATACTGACAATGACGTTTCCAAAAATGTGTTTTTACTAAAATATCTGTGATTTGATAAATTATTTTTTTTTTTTAATAAATAAGTTATTTATTTTTTCTGTGATTTTTTCATAAAATATCTTCTTCTGTTCCTCGCCTTAAATCCAAATACTTCGGGTGGCTACCTTTATCTTAAACTTCCACTTAACATGATCTCTTACTTCATTTACGCACGCATCAGCCTTCCTCTTATTATATTCAATAACATTCCATCATTCTTTTTATGGTCTTCCTCTACTTCTTGTTCCTTCAATATTCATTTCTATAACTGTTCTTACAGCTTCCGATTACTCTCTCCTAATAACATGACCAAATCATCTAACTTTATGATCTTATCCACGATTGAGGCTACATCTATACTTCCTTTAATATGTTCATTCCTTATTCTATTTTCTCTAGTCACTCCACTCATCCATCTAAGCATTTTTAATGTATTTGCATATAAACATACTAAATAAATAAAAATTGTCTGTTTCCAGTAATTACTTTACTAATATTTGTCTAATTTTAGATTTAATTTATGCCAAGGCACTTCAGAGGAAGTTCGTAATCTTTGCCAACTAGTTTTGAGTGATGTTTACGCTCCATACCTCAAACAGCCACCAAGAGATTTTGATGTCATTGCAAGATCATTGATTGATGGTTTCAAGCCAATTATTCCCATCATTGACGTTGAAGTCATGATAAATTTGACAAATGAGCTGTGTGGTTTGCCTAACAAAAAAATTGTTAGTTGGTATAACTTGTGGCTTTACAACGTTCATAAATTCATTCACAATTTTCTATTTACAATACCATGGTTACGCAGCATTTCATTATCAGTCTTCAATATCCTATTGAAATTTTCACTATGGCTTAATTCCAATTTTCCTATAATCGCAGCAATTCAGCTGGGTCAAGAAATTTATGATACTGAAGAACCAAAACCATTAATAAGATAATTATTCACATTGCTACGGGAAATTGTACATCTCAAACAAATAACTTATTAATATTTTGCTAAAAATAATGTAAAATATAATTAAATAAACAATTTTTAATATCAAAATGAATAATAAAATTTAAAAAATAAGTCTTATTATAAAGTATGAGAATGAGTACAAGTAAGGTCCGTATTTATTTTCTAAACGTGTACTAGAAAGTACACTTTTGGATTGTTTTAGGGCATTCAAGAACAACGTGAAATTTTAAGGATTGCAAAATTATGTAATTCGTACATAACTAACCATGTAAAATTTGAAGTACGTTTTGCTAAGATTTAACTGATAAAATAGTATTAAATTTAACTGTAGATTTTATATAATATAAATTATATTTATATAATATTTGATAATCTTATGTTATCATAATTTTAATTGTAATTGTACAGTCGTACCGTAAGGTTGTGCTTATTTTTTGTTACTATTTTATTCTATTGTTATTATTCGTAACTTTTCTTATGGCTTCAAATAGTGTAAACTGTTATATTTGTAATCTTGGTTTTGCTGAGTTTGATGTTCCTATTAAGTGTGATGGCTGTAACGTTCTAACACATAACAAATGCTCAGGTCTTAATAATAGTGAAATAAAATGTCTTGGTTTGAAGAATCGAAATTTGAAATTTTTTTGCGAAGCATGCAATAAGGGTTTGCGTGATATTCCCGAGCTTAAACTATTAATTAATCGTTTATTAGCTGAAGTTAATGAACTAAAGAGTCAGAAGCAAAATAACAACGCTCAAAATTTTTCTGAGGAGTTTATAATTGGTGAAGTCGGCGAACGCAATATCAGAGCATCTAATCTAATATTTTACAACGTTCCAGAGTCCAACCTTGATAATGCAGTCGACCGAGTTAATCATGACTCTAATCTTGTGAGTAATGTAATTGATTCGATTATTACTAGTGGGAATATTAGACCGTCTAAAGTTATTCGTCTTGGTATTCATGGTAAAAATAATCCCCGTCCAATTAAAGCTGTTTTTAGCACACCAGCTGATGTGTTTGAAATATTGAAGTCAAAAAAAAAGTTGTTATCATTACAACCACCTTCCACTATTGGTATCAGTTCGGATCGCACTCTTTATCAGAGAAACTAAATGAAAAAACTTCGTGATGAACTAGAGTCTCGTAGATCAAATGGTGAAATCAATTTAATCATTAAATACATAAGAGGAACTCCTACCATCGTGACTAAAGATAACCGTTTTAATGCCCGTGCTGGAAATTTTTTATAATTAATATTTTCTACCAAAATGTCCGTGGTCTTTTAACAAAGATCCCCTTTTTACGCAATGCATTGTTGAATGTTAATTATAATATAATATGTTTAACTGAAACTTGGCTTAATGAAAATGTTTTTGATTCTGAACTTGGTTTCACTAATTATAATTTATATCGTAATGATCGTAATAATTTGTCCTATGGTAAAAAACGAGGTGGTGGTGTACTAATTGCAGTAAATAAAAAAATTAGTTGTGACGTATTAAATGTCTCTAGTGTTATGGGTATTGAACAAATTTTTTTGAAAANTTTAGTGTTATGGGTATTTAACAAATTTTTTTGAAAATTAGTTTAAATAATGTTAATATAATTTTAGGTTGTATTTATATTTCACCAGGCAGTTCTTGTGATGTATATTCTAAGCACTGTGAGGTCATAGAGTCTATTTATTTAATGTACCCCAATTATAATTATGTTATAACTGGTGATTTTAATTTAAATCAGTTTGACTGGTCTATTGATCCAATCACTCAAGATCATATTACAGGTTCTCTAATTTTTAACTGTTATATAAATTTCTTAAATTTGAAACAAGTAAACCATATAATTAACTGTAGTGGTCGAACCCTTGATTGCATATTGATTAGTGCTGATATTGAACTTACAAATAGTTTACATTCGTCAGAATCTCTTGTTCCTACAATTGATAATTATCATCCACCATTAGATTTTATAATACAATTTAATAATTCATTGGGTAATGAACATTTTGAATCTCCATTAGTTTATAACTTTAAAAACTGTAACTTTGATGATATTTCTCATTTTCTTCAGAGTATTGATTTTGATCTTAATCTGAATTATAATTTATCTTTTGAATTGCTTATTGAAAAATTTTATGAAATTATTTATCACTCTTTTGATTTATTTGTGCCAAAAACAAAAATATATAATAAATATACACTTATATGGGCAAATTCTGAACTCAGAGATTGTATAATTAAAAAAAAATGTGCCCATAAAAAATTTAAATTATTCCCTTCTGATACTAATTATTATGATTTCTCTATTTTAAGAAAAAAATGTAAACATCTTATTAATATATGCCATGCTCAATATATTTCCAATATTGAAAACAGTATTCAAACAAATATCAAACCTTTTTGGAATTACATTAACTCTCTAAAGAAGTCTAATAATTCTGTTCCAGACTGTGTAAATTACCATAACTCATCTTCTACTAATATTTTAGACACAACTCAATTATTTGCAAACTATTTTTCAAGTGTCTATACCAAAGATCTTCCGCTCTTTAATGGACTTGATCCTCTCCCTTCTGGTGGATCTGATAATTATTTGAATTTACACTCCTGGACTATCTATCTGAATGAAATTGTTGATTATTTAAATTCTTTAAATGCTCATGCTGGTACTGGACCTGATGGTATTCCACCTATATTTTTAAAAAATTGTAGCTCGGTTCTTGTTCGTCCGCTTCATATGATTTTTAATAAATCATTAAGTTTGGGTTATTTCCCTAACATTTGGAAAAGGTCATTTGTAACACCAGTATATAAATCTGGAGATAAACATAATGTTACAAGTTATAGGCCGATTTCCAAAATGTCCATAATTCCGAAAATGTTTGAAGCACTAATTACAAAAAAATTGTCTTTAATTATGACTCCCCTCATTTCTAATAACCAACATGGTTTCAGACCCAAAATGTCAGTTTCTACAAATATTCTACTTTTTCAGGAGAAAATTCTTTCGGCTTTAAATCAACGTGTTCAATTGGACACTATTTATACAGACTTTCAGAAAGCGTTTGATAAAGTAAACCACAATATTCTATTACATAAATTATCTTGTGTTGGTATTCATGGTACATTTTTTAATTGGTTAAAATCTTACCTATGTTCTCGTACCCAGGTGGTTAAAATTAATAGTTTTATTTCTAATGAATTTTTGGTTACTTCTGGTGTACCACAAGGGTCGCACTTAGGTCCCCTCTTATTCATACTATTTATAAATGATTTACCATCTATTTTTGATAGCTCAGTTAATATTCTATTATTTGCTGATGATGTCAAATTATTTTCAGTTATTAAATCACCAAAAGATGCAATAAAATTGCAGTCAAATTTAGATAAATTTGTTGAATGGAGTCGTGTTAATCACCTTCCATTAAATATAAATAAGTGTAGTGTGATTACGTTTTCCCGAATAAATAATATAATCACCTATAATTATTTGATTGATAGTAATATAGTTACAAGAGTTGCCTCTATCAGAGACTTAGGGATAATCTTAAATTTTAATTTGGATTTTTCCACCCACATTAACACCTTTATTAAAAAAGCTTTTAAGATGCTTGGTTTTATTAATAGAAGCACGATAAATTTTAAAAATACTAATGCCTTAAAAACTTTATATTTTTCCTTGGTTAGATCTCATCTTGAGTATGGATCAATTGTTTGGTCACCACACTATATATCATGTACCAGTCGAATTGAAAATGTTCAGTATAAGTTTTTAAAATTATTATGTTTTAAATTAAATATACCCATCTCAAGAGAATCATACAAGTTGCAGATTTCCCAATTGGGGATCGTATCTTGTGATTTGAGGAGAAATGTTGCGGATATGTTCCTATATGACTTATTAAATGGTCTTATTTATTCTCCAGAATTATTATCTCACATTGGTTTTAATGTACATACTCACGTATTAAGAAAATCTAATTTTTTTCATATTTCTCTTCCTAAAAATATTTATACTTCCTCCTCGTTTTTCCCAAGAGCTCTATCTTTGGCTAACAGAATTATGGATCATATCGATTTTTTTTCTATGTCGCGTTTTGTATTCAGACAGAATGTTTATTTGGCTTTAAATTTAAATTCAAATTCTCTTGTATAATTTATTATTTTTATATTTTATTATATTTTTTATTCACTACAAACATGTCATTATTATTTCTTTTTTTGTAACTGTTTATGTTATTAATGATTTTTACTGTACTTATAAATATTCTAATTGTTAAAGGGTTAACACCCGTATATTATACATAAATAAATAAATAAATAAATAATTTTAATTATTAAAAAATTAAAGTGTTATTTTATTTAACAATGATTTTTTTTTTATTTATTTATAATTAACAAAGTGAAATACATTTAAAAATACTAAAAAGTGTTATCTTACTAATATTAACAAGTTAGTATGTTATAATGTACTAAAAAAATGTAAATATTTATTTATATTTTTTAATTACTTCATAGTTATTTATGAAAAATACTTTTTATCAGAAAAGAAATTTATAAAGATTAATAAATTAGAGTATTCATAATATTTATTTATTATTTTTTGATATTGCAAAGGAGAAAAAATCTATATATTTGACAAAAAAAAAGTACATGTGTATATGATAATAGTAAAAATTGATTTTTATGTGTGTCAAATTTGCGGTGCAAAAACAAAATTTCTTCACTATACTTCTAAAAGTTAATGTAACTTAATTTTAATATAATCATATTAAAGTCATCTTAATTATCATTTTAACCTTTACTAATAAGTTGTATATTTTTCGAATCACCATACACTTTTGAAATTGACAAAATATGACTTTTTTCATTATGATTTTTTATATAACCTTGATTTTTAAAAATAAAGAAAACAAAACGTTAAAAACTCTACAAAAAAGTTTTTCATAAGACTCGACGATTCTATCATAATACAAATATTATAGAGCATATAATGTTCTTAAAGGCATTTTTTTATTATTGATATTATTATTATAGTACATCATTGCACAATGTCATAATTAATTAACACTGTTGAAAAATCA